CCCCGTTCTACTATTAATTCTGTTTTAACATTTGTCTTACGTTTACTTATTATTTATTTATTTATTAACTTTACAATCATACAAAAATTATAACAATGATTGAAGGTATGGTCAACAGGACATGAGTCCCATGTGAAGACCAACCTGATGCAAAACAATAAGTAGACATACATTAAAGACAAGGACTACAACACTATTTACATAACTATATAAAAATTAATAGTTAGATTATGAGCAACAGCTTAAGTTGAAAGAATGGCATTTAGAGCAGTAGCTTTTCCAAGTGCGCATTCTGTTAACATCGAAAGAAGAGTCTAATTGAGAAGAGTAGTGATTATGTTCCAAACAATGGCGGTCGTGCTGAGAACTGCTCTTGGTGTTTTAATACTTATTGCTAGTTTGCGTGTTAAAAAGTGTGCTTTCTTGAGCCCTGATAGTGTGGGGTTATCTATTACTGGTAATGAAGTATCTTTCGACATCGAAACTCACATTCTATCGAGTTTATGGCAAGCAAAAGGTGGGAAATTCAACTTTCGTGTGTGCTCATCGAACCGAAGTCTGATAAATCTGCTGATCTTAATGTGTGGGGATATACATTCCTGCCTTGGCCCATCGCCAATGGCTCAATGTTTATCGTGTCCAGCGTGCTTAAGAAAGATAAGGAACAACCAGTCAAGAATGAAATGTATATCGTGTGAAATGTTTTTTCACATGAAATGTTTTGGAGAAGAAGCCGATCGAGTACGTACTTGCAAACTCTGTCAAACGCCGGTTCTTGATTCCACAGACCCTAGGATTGATAACTGCAGTATACTGAACGAACTGAAGGATATTGTTGAGTCCCGTGGAATTAAGTTAATACATCAAAATATTTGCAGTCTCCTGAGGAAAATGGACGAACTAAGACTAATGATATCAGAATTGAAATCTGGTATTCATATCTTAACCCTATCGGAGACATGGCTCGCAGAAAACATCTCGGACGCAGAAATTGAGATCGCAGGGTATCGAACATTTCGGAAGGACAGATGTTCTAAAGGGGGCGGAATTGTGGCATATGTAAGAAATGATCTGGCAGTGGTGAAAAGGACGGACTTGGAAACTGTTGATGTCGAAGGTTTATGGCTTGAGATAAGTTTGCCTAAGTCTCATGGCTTTCTCGTTGGGGTGTTCTACAGGCCGCCTGACTCTTCAGATTATCACGATTGTGAGTTTATGCCTAAGTTTGATGCAATGTTGGATCTGGCGATCGAACAAGGTAGAGAAGTAATCATAACTGGTGATTTCAACTGTGATTTCCTCCCAGTCAAGGCAACTACATCGTATTGTAAACAACTTAAATCTATCCTAAGAGTACAATATTTCTCCCAATTAATCAACGCTGCTACACGTATAACCAAAAGTTCTAACACTTTGTTAGATCTTATTGCTACAAACTTCCCACAAAACATAAGCCGCTCTGGTGTAGTGTGTACCGGTTTGAGTGATCATGAGATGGTTTACTGTATTAGAAAAATTAACTGGAAGAGGTCACCAGAAAGGATTAGAACAGTAAGAAATTATGCAAAGTATGATGCGGCAAAGTTCTGCGAGGATTGTGTCAATGTCTTTAACAATACCCTAGTAGATACATCATGCTTATCCGTTAAGGAACTTTGGTTACGGTTCAAGTCACTCTTTACTGAAATAGCTGATAGGCATGCACCGTTAATGAATAAGAAAGTAAGGTCTAATCACCCTTGTGCATGGATAAACAGCGAGATTAAGAAAGAAATCAGACAGCGTGACCATGAACTTAAAAAGGCTAGGAAATCTAATTCAAATGAAGATTGGGCAACATACCGTAGGACTAGAAATAAAGTAACAAACAGAATCCGCTCAGCGAAAGAAAAATATCATAGGAATCTTATTTATGACAATAGTCATAATCCACGATCGTTTTGGAAAACTATGAAAAAGGTCTTTCCTGTAGAGAGTAAACATGTGGCGACTAATGTATTGATTGTATTGATTAATGGGAAACTGAGTAAAGATAAACAACAAATTGCTAACGCATTTGGTGTATACTTTACTGAAACAGTATCGCGGCTGCACCAATCGTTTAGTAATCTTTGTAACAACATAGGAAATATTACATCGCAGTGTTTTTTCAATCGTTTAAACAGTGGTTTTGTATTTAAATTCGAGGAAGTGAAAGAGCAGTTTATTCTAAATAATTTGCATAAAATTGATGTTAAGAAAGCAGCTGGATTAGATAATATACCACCACGACTTCTGAAAGACACTGCTAATGTTATTGCCAGACCACTCACAAAGATCATTAACGTATCCCTCGAACAAGGAACAGTGCCTGATGATTTCAAACTTGCTAAGGTAATTCCTGTTTTTAAGAAAGGACAACCCGAAAATATGGACAACTACAGACCGATCTCAGTTCTTCCCACAGTGTCTAAGCTATTAGAGAAAGCAGTCCATGAGCAGTTGTATAGATTTTTAACAACGAATCATCTCTTGAATCCTTACCAGTGTGGTTTTCGTAAATATCACTCAACGGAAACTGCGGTTATTTCTCTCACAGACTCTATTCGAAGGAACATTGACCAAAAGATGCTTACAGGAGCCATATTTGTAGACCTTAGGAAGGCGTTTGACACCGTAGACCACTCCCTACTTTTGGCCAAGTTGGAGAGTTACGGCGTAGTTGAAAGTGAACTTGAGTGGTTTAGTAGTTACCTTAACGATCGACCGCAAATAGTTACCTTTCAGAATATGCAATCATTGCCATGTAATATTTCGTCTAGAGTACCACAGGGGTCTATTTTAGGGCCCCTACTGTTCGTCCTGTTTATTAATGATCTTCCAGCAGCTGTTCAACAATGCAATGTTCTGATGTATGCCGATGACACGGTACTTTTCTTCGCAGAGAGGGACAGTGGTGTAATACAGAATGTGTTAACAACCGAGCTGGAAAATTTGAGAGCTTGGCTGATGGAAAACAAACTGTCTCTTAATAGGAAAAAAACAGAGACGATGTTGTTTGGAACTAATGCAAACTTATCAAAGGTAACTAATTATGAGCTCTCAATTGATGGCTTTCCATTGAAGCGTGTAACTGATTATTGTTACCTTGGTAATACTTTAAATGCAAATTTGTCTTGGCATTCACATGTTGATAATGTAGCAATGAAAGTGGGCAGAAGAATTGGCATGTTACGTCGACTACGTAACAACCTGACCCTAAATGCGGCGGAAACGGTTTATAAGTCGTTCATTCGCCCTCTTATGGAGTATGGGGACAGTATTTGGACGTGCTGTGGTGAGCAAAACAAAGGAAGGCTCGAGATACTCCAAAAGCGTGCTGCCAGAGTGATTTCCAGGTACACGCGAAGTGATGACGCAATGGAAAGTCTCAGATGGGACAGCTTAGAATCAAGAAGAGACGTACATGTTCTCAAACTGGTTAAAAAATGTATTCTACGGAAATGTCCACAATTTTTTAATAATTATTTTGTTTTTAATCGTGACAGTTCCTCGCGAATAACAAGACAATCAGACAAACTTCGTTTGCCTAAAGTAAGAACTGAATCTGCAAAGAATTCTTTTTATTATTATGGATGCAAGGTTTTTAATAAGTCTAATTAAGTCGATCGGGACATATAGATAGTTAGTTTATTGTAGGGTTTTTAGATAATTTTATACTATTTTAGATAAAACTGTATTGTAGATATACTGTATATTTTTCAGGGCCCCTAAGGATAACAGTGAACATTCACTGATTGGGTCACCCTTTTTAAATAAAGATCTTACATTACATTACATTAGAGAAAAGCCGCCATAATACATTTTCCGACATGAAGCAAACAAGCGTGGCAACAGTATGAAAATTAAAGAATAATTTAAAATAAAATAATAAATAATACTGCAGAAAGCTTTGATAATTCTGATGATTACTCACCTTTGTTTTTCTTTTGGAAAAAGTGTGCAAGCTTCAGTTGGTGCCTTTTCATTGTTGTCTCTCTTTGGTTCACCCAACAAATCGCAAATCAAAAATCACTCATGTTATTTTCACAAAATAATAGCTATATTAGAAGTGATTCACTTTCACTCATGAATAATGCATAAAGTGCACCGGCTTTTATACTAACGGTTAGAGTAAAATATGACTTAATTCACTAAAAATAATCTATGACATATTGCTGATGTAATACACCATGAGTAAGCAAATTCCATTGAGAGCCAATGTACCTGTTACCTAATGCACAAAATTTTGATCTAGACAAGTCTAGACAAAAATTTCATCACAACTTGAAAGAGCATCACAAAATTAGTAATATTCTGACGTTTCGCTGCGAAATGTTGTAAAATGCAGATAATATAGCCCTGCGAAGTTTGCCGTTTTTCAGTCATTTTGTATTACGCACAGGAAATTGATACTTTTTTCAGAAAGCGGTATCAATTTCCCGTGTGTAATACCACAATGACTGAAAAACGGCAAACTTCGCAGCCGCAGGGCTATATATTATCCGCATTCGGCATTTCGCAATGAAATTTCGGAATATTACTAATTTTGTGATGCTCTTTCAAGCTGTGATGAAATTTTTGTCTAGACTTGTCTAGATCAATATTTTGTTCATTAAGTAATAGGTCCATCGCAAAGCTGAACCATGTCAGATTTTGTTATAGTATGGGTGCTAAAATATTGCATTGTCATGCAAAATTATTCTGGCAAACATAAACAAGGTTAAAGGTCAGACACACATTGCCGAATGTCGAAAAAAGAAGCACACAATTTTCATATTCTATTGATTTTATTGTCGCTTTCCCTCCGGTTTTCTTTCTTTCTTTCTTTAATATTTTCTACATGCCTTCATACACTTTTAAAAGCTGGTGAGAACCTCACACCAACGATCTGGAGATCACTTGGACTTTGTTCGTCTTCTGCCACTGGCACTGTTCTCAGGTTTCAATTCAGCCGTTTCACACCCCAAAATTAGACTTGCGCTCGTAATATTATTCTTCGCCTTTTCACTGAAATTTTTGGCTTAGTATTCTACCTTGTTTTTTCACCAAAATTTAGTTTATTCGTAGCTTTTTATCTGGTCTTTTTACTAAAATTGAACATGCGTTTGGATATTTAATCTTTAGACGTTTTTACGTAGTAGGCTATATTTAGTTTTATAAATATATATAATTGCATTTGTTGAAGTTATCAGTAAGTTGTACTATTACTGCCAAAAAGGATAAGTTCCTTTAAATTAAATAAACTGCTATAATAATAACCTACACTACGCACGCCATTTTCGAATTTTTCACTAGAAAATTTGGGGGGTGCGCACCCCCCTGCACCCCCAGAAAATCCGCCCCTGACCCACAATACGACAAACTGTTCATTGTCTACAGAGGGTCTTGGGGCAGTGTTGTACCAGCAACAAGATGTCATCCTTCGAATTGTCACATATGCATCAAGAACTTTAACACCAGCGGAATGGAACTACCATCTACATGCAGGAAAGCTTGAATTCCTAGCTCTAAACTATGTCGTTTATACAGACAACAACTCATTGACCTATATACTTACTACCGCAAAACTGAATTCAACAGGAATGAGGTGGATAGGAGAACTAGCAGACTTCAATTTCGAAATAAAATACCGACCAGGGAAGGCAAAGGTTGATGCTGACAAGCCTGTCACAACTTCCAGCAGACTTCGCCAGATACATTAGTACCTGTGAGAAAATGACAACGTCAGACAAATTCCAAGCCTCCTCCGTCATGTTGGCCGGAGAGGAAGGAGTGGCAACATGGGTGTCATCTTTCTTTTAACAGCAAAAGCAGACACGTTGGAGTCTGAAATATGATGATGAAATATTCCTGACCAACCTATCACCCCCATGGTTTCCTCAGTGGCCATTCCAACCATGGTGGATACCACTTCCATACCCTTTTCAAGGTAGCTGTCCATGGTGAAAACAAGATTTTTGAATTTAGTAAATATTCGAAGTGACAATCGGACACACTTGTAACAATAGCAATGAAGTTGTATTAGCTAACTTTGTGTTAACTTACAAACCGTTATGTTGAGGACAACATTTGTCAGGGGGAAGTAATATAAGGAAAACATAATATAATTATTAACATTGTTGAAATATTTAAGGGCCATTTACGTTTTGGTTTGTATAATGTTATGACAGCATTTGACCCTCTGTTCGAAAGGTTATTTTATGAGGATTTGGTGGTTTCCCACTCCAAAGTCGGAAATGCAAATATGAACTGGATGACAATGAATTAATCACCGAAACCAGCTGAGATAGGTTTCGTGTCATTTTGACAATTTTTTGCAAACATTTGAATGTAGAGGTCAGCCGTTTCAAGGGTTCGACTCCAAACTTTGTCAGCATGTGTAGGTTGGATAAGTGCACCACTGCGCCAAATTTGGGGCAGATGAGTTAAATAATTATCTTTCCGAGAGGGGTTAAATCTCAAAATTCGGTACACATTTTCACTATTATGTACCTATTTTTTAAAGCATATATTAACAAGAAATGTGCAAGATGATGAGATGTAACATTTGCCCCATAAGAAGCAAATTTTGTTCATAACAAGCATATGGGCTAATCTTTATACGATGGCTGGCTAATGTCTGAGAGTTGTCTAAAAGTGTGTAGCTGACCTCAAAAATCATCTGGGATCACGCCCCACCCTTAAAAGTATTGCCCACACCCTAATGTACATTGTGGCAGGGCAGAAAAGCCGAGTGTCACAATAACAGGGCAGGAATGACAAATGTCATTTTGACAATTATTGTCAAAATGACACCTAGGAACCTAAGCATAGTGATAACAAATGAATATGATGTTTATAATTCAGCAAAACACCAAGTTGAATTTACCCTGGGTGCCAGAGGTTCCTTCCACACTCGTAGGGGGGATAATGAGGGATAAACAAGGATTCAAGCTGAGCGGCGGCGAGAGGGAAGAACCTCTGGAACACTTCTATGGCTTTTACTGTTTTAACTGTCACATGTCAATCAAACGTTAGCCAATAGGACACATATTTATTTTTGACTGATGATGATTTGGGCATGTTCAACCGAACATTTGAGCGATGGAAATTGCGACAGAATGTGTCAAAATTTCAAAACAAAAAATTAAAATTTATAGCGAGTCTTTATGGCCCTTTATAGTAAAATAAACTGAATAATATTATATGGCCACGTATGGCATTAGACCATACACCTGTTAAAAGTGTTACACTGAAAAAGCGGAGACGAGTATTGTCAAGTTTGTGGTGAATTTCAGAATTTGTTATTCACAGTGGGTATTTTAGTATATACAGTAAAAGGATCGTTGCCTCGGTAGATTGAACTTTGAACAAACGAATATTTGCCGTCCAAGGCCCTGTTTATATGGAGGCGAGTTACTGTCGTTACTCTGCAATTGGCGAATAAAACTTATCTAATGATTCGTATGTATTTTTGAACAATATATTATATTTCAAATACAAAGCACATACATTTATATATATACATTCGATCTCGGGCGGCCGAGTTAACAAATACCCGAACATCTTTTGTTTATAAATATGGTAACTATTCATCTCACCGAAGGCAATATCTCGCCTCTTTCTGCCGGGAACTCGTCACTGGCGAGTTTATACTCAACTGCATCGTCATGTAAACAGTTCCCCGGGTTTACTACTATATAAGTTTCTATAATATAGCCGGGATCTTGTCATTGACAAGTATAAACTCGACTTGCCGGGTAATTTGCCTCGACATAAATAGGCCTATAAAGACTCCCATCTTGTCTTGACATGCTTGATTAGTAGACAGACATGCACACAAAATTCCCTCTTGGCAATATAGCAAACATATCATGGCGATGCATTAACTGAAACACAGAAACAAGGCATCATCTTGATGTTTATCAGTTGAGTTTTGTAACACTGTCCATTAAAAAATTTCAAAATCGAATCAACCGCGACCGAGTTGTTGAAATCCTCTCGGAAGACTCGCAAAACTAGAGGCATATATATTTACACCTGACTACATGTTATAAATATAATATTATATTAAACAACAGCGCATGCCTGTACGGATTCTGAACAATAATATCTTGAAGGACATACGGTTCAAACAGCCAGTGAAAGTCATTGTTTTAACAAGTCCTTGCCGTTAACCAATTAACACTGTGATCCAGATTCTGGATCACTTCACACTACTAAGCATCGTGATTGGTGCGGTTCGATCTGAGAAACCATAGAAGTGTTCCAGAGGTTCTTCCCGCTCGCTGCCGCCCAGCTTGAATCCTCGTGTATCCCTCATTATCTCCCTACGAGCGTGGAAGAACCTCTGGCACCCAGGGTAAGTTGAATTGGAACACATGATGAATGCAATGCATTATTAAATGAACAGGACCAAGCCTATTTTGAGTCCTTGAGGCAAGATCAAGAAAAAGAAAGGGAGCTATTTCCAGAAAAGGAACTAAACCATGTTGAATGGCAGGAATCATTGAGGAATATTAGAGAATCTCATTTTTTCCCTGAACCAGATATAAGAAGAGCATGTTTTTGTGTGGGTAAGACATATAACCCAAGGAGTAAATCGCACAGAAACAACTTATACAACAGAGCACAGGATTCCA